CCCTGCGGTAAGAGGGTGTCCGGCCCCGAGTGACTGGTGCTGCTGGGGGGGTTGGGACAGGAGCTGAGAGCTTTGGGCAGAGGAGAGGAACATGCTTTAACCCTGCAGCCACTGTCCAGGAGGGAAACCCACCAACCCTGAGCATCCCAACTAGTTCTGTGTCCATTGTTCAGTGAGGGAAGGAAACGTGTGGAGACAGGAGTCACCTGGAGACCTGTGATTCAGCTGGGGACAGGATTCATCTGTGAGACCTGATTCACTTGGAGACAGACAGGAATCACCTGGGAGACCTGATTTCCCTGGAGACAGGAGTCTCGGGGGTGTCCGGCCCCGAGTGACTGGTGCTGCTGGGGGGGTTGGGACAGGAGCTGAGAGCTTTGGGCAGAGGAGAGGAACATGCTTTAACCCTGCAGCCACTGTCCAGGAGGGAAACCCACCAACCCTGAGCATCCCAACTAGTGTCCAGTCCATTGTTCAGTGAGGGAAGGAAACGTGTGGAGACAGGAGTCACCTGGAGACCTGTGATTCAGCTGGGGACAGGATTCGGAGACCTGATTTCCCTGGAGACAGGATTCACCTGGGAGACATGTCATTTCCCTGGAGACAGGATTCCCTGTGCTTCCCTGCTGCCTGCCCTGAGCTCACTCACGTGAAGGTTCATCTCTCCCATGTCCATAGCCTCCAGCCCAGAGGCTTCCCTAGATTGTTGTGGCACAGCTTGGAATCTCTAAATGGCAAAGTTTTCCCCTCCCCACACTTTTTTTTTCTTAACAGATTTCTAATCCAGTCCTTGCTTGGGATTTCCCAGCCCAAAGTGAATCCCTGATTTCAGTTCTAACAAGGAATGTTTCCCATGAGAAGCCTCAGCTGAGGAGCTCTTGGGAAGGTTCTAAGGAGCCAAGTGAGCTGCACCTCTGAGCTCTCATGGGCTTCATGGCCTGTTTGATCAGGGATTGGGGGTCCAAATTCCTTCTGATTTCAGGTTTGATCCCAGAGACAAGGAGAGAATCCTCAATATGGGGAATAATACACAATTCTCAATACAGGGAAACAGTTAGTCTGTGTTCCAGCAACTGTCAGTTCCCTCCTGCTGTCCTTTCCCTCCATCCCTTCATCTGATCCCCAAGGAAAAGCAGAGTAGAGTCTTTGTGCTTGTGGCCCTGATGAAGAAATCAGGATTCAGTGCTGGCAGCAGGTCTGGGATGTGCCCTGGCTCCATGTCCTGTGGGCACTGGGGCTTCCCTCACCTTCCACAGGTAAGTGTGGTGCTCCTGGCAGGCCCCTCTGGGCTGGAATGGGGTTGGGATGTGCCAGGCCCAGCCCTCAGGGGGGTTTTGGGCTGGTTTTGGGGTGTTTCAGGCAAAAGCAGCACAGGTGCTCCAGAGGAGCACAGGGAGCATGGACTGAGCTGGGCACTGGCAGTGCCCAGGGTGGAACTGCTGGGCAGATCCCGAGGGTTCTGGGGCAGAGCTGGGTCAGGCTCTGGGGCTGGAGGGAGCTGAGCTGACACAGCTCACCTGGACTGCAAGGAACACATGGATGCTCCCAGCTGGCTGAGGCAGGAGCAAGGCTGAACCTCCAAGGAATTGGCTCCACCTCAGTACTGCTCAACCTTGTGCAGGTGCAGCCCCAGGAGTGGCTCTCTCCAGGCCTGGGGGCTTTGCTGTCACCAGGAGTTTGCTCCAAGGACAATGTGCTGCTTCCCAGGCTCAGCTCTCCCCCAGCAGGAGAGTCTCTGGGTGCCCCCCCAGCTCCCCCAGTCTCCCCAGTCTGTGTGCTCACAGCCTGCTGGGAGGACCTCCAGGCTGCTGTGGTTAAAAGGATACTGTCAATGCCTTCCTGTAGATGCTTTTAATCCCTTATATTTATTCGACCCCCTTAGCGCTGTGGATTTTCCCTCTCTCCTGGAGGGATTTTGTTCCCAGAGCTTTCTCCAGGTTTCAGGGTGGCAGAAGATGAAGGTGCCAGGCTGGAGGGGCCGTGGGGCATTCAGCAATCACAAGGATTTGCACAACTCTGGGGAAAACAACACTTGGTTCAGTTCCTACTGTGGCAGGGGAGAGCAAAAAGTGGGATTTGGGAGCCAGGGGGCAGTTGGCTGACTGATTCCCTCGTAACAGAGCAGAGTTTTCCAGGGAAAACTCCTCAAGAACACAGAACCCAAAGCATTTTCTTTTCTGTTTGCAGACCAGGGTGACAGCATTAAGGTAGCTCAAACTACTTGACAGTGTCCTTTTAAGTCAATTATCCGTCTTCAAATGGACTCTTCCTGATGTTTGTATTTATAAATACCAATAAACACCATTTTCCAAGCTCTGTCTCACTGGAGGAAGAACTTTGTGGAGGACAAACCACCTCCTGAGGGAGCTGTGCCTGGGGTTCCCCAGGTGTGGAGTCGTGGAATGGGTTGGGTTGGAAGGAAATTAAACACATCCATCCCTGCTGTGAGCAGGGACATCTTCCAGAGTTCAGGTGGCTCCAAGCCCCATCCAGCCTGGCCTGGGAAACATCCTGAGGGATGAGCTGGTGGCTGGGGAGGGTGTTGAGCACTGAGGAATTGCTTCATACTGTGATTTTTGAAGTGGAAGTGGTTCAAAGTGGGAGCTCCAGGGCAGCTCTAGCATGGATCTGGATGAAGATCCCATCCCTGGCCAAGTGCTGGCACTGCCCTGGGCCTCTGACCCCTGCCCCAAACCTCCCCTAGGGACCCCAAACCTCCCCCTGGGACCCCAAACCTCCCCCTGGAACCCCAAACCTTCCCTGGAGACCCCAAACCTCCCCTGGGGACCCGAAATC